GGCCCGCGCGCCCCCTGCGACGCCGCCCTCGCCGGCGGCGGGCTCGCGACAGCCCCCTTGGTCCCTCCCCAAAGCGAGCCTGCCCTGCACGCGTCCCCCGCTCGCACCCTTGGCCAACCCCCTCCCCCTGGCTCCGCCGCCGCTTCATCCCTCCACACACACACCCCCGGGCACAGCGCACCTGCCCGGTGGCCAGGGGTGTGTGTGTGGGCTTTGACCCTCCGGAGGAGGGCGGCGCCGCGCGCGGCCCCGTGCACCTCGTCATCGGCCATGCGGGCGCCGCCCTCAGCACCAACGTGCCCCTGGCGCCCTCGCCGATCTGGGAGGTGCGCCGCCGGTCAACCTGCCTTGCTGGCGCCAACAGGCGCCCGCAGCCGCCCACGCGAGAGCGTGCCGCGCGCATGCAGCGCCCTTGTGTTGCCCCGCGAATACGAGCGCCAGCGTTGCCCAGCACGAAATGCGCTTCTTTCGAGCCGCGCCCGTGGGCGGTCGCCACAGGTATCTTCCTTGCAGATTCTGTCTGTACAGCCCCCAAAAAAGCACGCGTTGCCTACCGAAACACACCCTCCCACTCGGCGCAGTCTATCAAGTTTTGGTGGGGTTACGTCCGCGCGGAGGCCAGCGCCACGCGGCTGGTCGTCGAGGTGGTGTCAGACCTGGACGGGAAGCTGCTGGACAGCTTCACGCTGAGGAAGCCCAAGGGGTGGGGCGAGAAGTTCATGGCGGGAAGACCGGGGCGGGGCAGCGGGCCCAACGCAGCGGCGGCAGTGGATGCGGCGCGGCAAGCAGGAGGGAATGAAGGGGTGCGGCGGGCGGAGGGCGGCGCGTGGGGGTGGTGGCAGGGCTTGGGGCCACTGGCAGCTGTCGGGACGGCGGAGGAGCGCCGGTGAGCGCGGCGGTATGCGCGGCTGTTTGCACTCCCTGCCCAGCACGGCGCGCTGGGTGGCGATCTGCCAGCGCACTTCACTATTTTTTCGCAGCCATAACCAGAGTGCGTGGTAGGCGGAGCATCGAGCGCACCACTCCCGGCGGGTGTCGCAGCACAGGCGGAGGTCGTCGTCGCCGCAGATTCGCTTTTCTGGCGACCGGGCCGCCTTCCCACTGCTGCCACGCAGACCCTTGTACCCATACCACACCGCGTCACGCAGTGCACCCCGCACGTCCAGCACGTGAATGCGTTTGTCCATTCGTTACTGCCGGCACGTCGGTTGCAAAAGTGCACATCCATATGGAAGTGCACTTGCATACTGGGGCGGCGCGTGTAAATCCAGGCAGGCTGATGCCTGGGAGTTGGGCAAGCCCCAACGTGGGCTCTGTTGGTCAACACGGGGCCGACGGCCCAGAAAACAGGGGGAAAAGGAACAGCAGGCGGTCAAGGTGCAGTAGTATACATGGCGACCAGCGGTGGCGGGCATTGCCCCGCGGCTGACCCGCGCACCGGCGCGCGAGCTCGGCCCAGGTGGCGGCGCCGTGGCCCGGCGCACAGATACATGTGTCCGGGAGCTGCGGGCGTCAGGCTCCGCCCGCTCCCATCCCATGGGGCCCGGCCCGGCCAGCATCGTCCTCAGATCACGTCGGATCGCACGTCAGATCACGTCGGGGAAGATGAGCTCGCGCGTGTTGTCCGCCCGCGCCTCCATCGGGCAGTAGGGGCACTTGAACACCCGCGTCCGGCTGCGGTCGGCGATCTTCGCGATGCTCTGCTCGCACAGCACGTGGCCGCAGGGCAGCAGCTTGGGGGGGTTCGCCGGCGTCGACTGCTCCTTTGACACTGGGCAGGCGAACGTCGAGTGGAATATGAACTCGGGGCCGACGTGGATGTCGGTGGGCAGCTGCTCGCAGGCGTCGTAGTCCTGCGCGCTGCGCTCCATCACGCCGACCATCTTGACGAGCGCGGGCAGCGCGGAGCTGCCCGCGGCGACGACGACGGCCAGCGGGCTCTCGGCGGCCTGGGGTTGGGTGGGAGGGGACGGCGGGGGGTGGCCTGATGGGGCCGAGGGGGCGGGGAGGGGCCGCCGCGCCAGCAGCGGAGGCGGCACAGTGGATGGTTGCCCGGCCCTCCCAGTGTGCGCCCAGTCATGGAAAAGTGCACGGTCTGCTGAAAGCTTCAGCCCCAACCCCCTGGGCACGCCAGGCTGCGGGCCTGCTCTGCGGCCCCTCTCCCAACCGACTGATCACGCATCCCATCGCCCTGCCTGCTCCCTCCCCACACATGCGTACACGCACCCACACACTCAAGACTCACACAATGCACACACTCACCCCCACCCGGCCCCTAATGCCCCGTTGGCCCCCCACACACACACACGTTTGAACACAAACACAAACACATACACAAACACACAAAAAATCTCACAAACTGATAATCAACACCATGTCCCAGCAGGCCCCCAAAACCGCCCCACCTGCCCCATCAGGCTGCAGGCCTGCTTAGTAAACTCCGCCTCCAGCGCCGCCCACGCCGCGCCCGCGGACAGCAGCTGCGCATACTGCGGCGGCACCACGCTGGGCGGGCGCCCCGCAAACACGATGCAGCCCATGAACCGCTGAATCTCCTGCATGTGGTTGGCCTGGGGGAGGGGGGCACAGGGAGGGGGCGTAGTTCCGTGGGGGCGGCGTTTTAGGGGCGGGTTGGCCGTTGAGGGAGGGGGCGTGACTCGCCGGCCAGGTGGCATGAGGCTGACTGGAAGGTGGTGAGACGCAGTTGGTGAGGCTGAGGGATACTCAGGGCGCCAAAGCGCCTCCGGCGGGGCCCCCGCCCAGCAGGGGGGTTGGGTTGAGGCGTCGCGTGCCCTCCCGTTGCACCCCTGCTTCTGAGTCATGCTGTGCTGCAGCAGCATGCCCGCAGCAGCCAGGCGGCGCGCGGGCTGGCACGAGCCCTCCCACGTCCCCCTGGGCGCCGCACATGGAAAGGCGGAAAGTGCGCCTTGGCATACGCGAGCGCCGCCGCTGGGTCGCCGCCGCACGCGCCGCCGCCGCCCCAGCCGCCGTCGCTCATGGCCGTGTCTCCGCCGCCGCCGCCGCCGCCGCCACCGCCGCCGTGCTTGCTGCTGCCTGTCAGGAGCTCGATGAAGGCGAGGGCGTGGAGCCCAAACTCAAAGGCCGAGGGGCCGCCGTCGGGCGACAGCGCAGCGCGGTGCTGCTGCGCCCACTCCAGGACGGGCTGCAGGTTGCGGGCGCGCAGCTGCGGGAGGACAGAAGGTGTTTGTGTGTGTGTGTGTGAGTGTGTGAGTGTGTGTGTGTGTGTGTGTGTGTGTGTGTGTGTGTGTGTGTGCGCGCGCATCTACATGTGAGTCAGCAAGGGGGTGGGGATGTTGGTGCGTCCGAAGGGTGGGCATAGGGGGGCGGAGAGGTGGGAGCTGGCTTTCGCCCCACAGGACTGCAGCGCAGCACCTCTTCCCCTGCTCTGTGGGCTTTTGCGGCGCCGCAGCGCCGCCACGAGGAAGCCGGTTCATGGCGCGCCCCTTCGAACCCTGGGCTTATCCAACCGACCCTCTAAACCCACACAACACAGCAGCCAACCAGACCGGACCGGATCAGGCCAGGCCCGAGCAGGTCGGACTAGTCCAGGCGAAGGCGGCGCCCACCTGCTGCAGCACCCCGTGCAGGCTGACGTAGGGGGCCTTTATGGCGTCTGCCCCCGCCACGCGCGCCTCCTCCACAAAAGCGTCCCCCAGCTGGAAGCGCCCCTCCCGGTAAAAGTGCTCCGCTATAACCTGCGCTTCCGGGTGTGGAAAATTTGGATGAGTCTTGGTGGTGTGTCTCATCGGGTGTGAGGCTGATGCAAGCACGCATGTACCGGGGTTGAGGCGGCAGTAGTGGAGTGCAGGCGTGTGTTTGGCTTCTGCTAAGTGCTGCTGCTGCTGCTGCTGCTGCTGCTGCTGCTGCTGCTGCTGCTGCTGCTGCTGCTGCTGCCGCCGCCGCTTCTCGCCTGTCTGATTTTGTGCCTGCAAAGGGGCGCACCTGGTTGAGCGTCTGCTGGTCGAAGCGCACGCTGCGCAGCGCCTTGCAGACATCAACGCTGCCCTCAAACACCTTCTCCAGGGCCTGTGCGAGTGTGGGTCAGTGATGTTTTAGGGGATGAGGGGGGGATCGGGAGGGGCGCCTCAAAAGAAAAGGGAGCTTGTGACAATTCCAGCTACCCACAGCCGCTGTCGCCGTTAGCTGCCAAAAGCAGGCATTAGGATGGTGTTGTTGGCTTTGTGTGGGAGGCACTACTTTACCATGGTAGGCCGGGGTTCATGCGCCGAAGCATTACAACAAGGCGCGAGCGCTCCGCTGGCGCAGCACTGCACACACACCTTGTTCAACTTGCCGACTGCCGTGTGCAACTCCTTGGTCTGGCTGTTCATCTCCTTTTCAAGGCCTAGCTTCTGTATATGCTGCTGCAGCTCCTTGACAGCGCCGATGTGCTGGCCCGCGGCCAAGCGAGCGCGGGTCGCCATTGCCAGCGAGATCAGCTGGTCGATGCATCCATCCACGCGCTCCGCGCACGTGCGCTGCTTTTTTACGACTTTACCGGCCTCATCGAGGGCGGCCTGCATTGCAGCTGCTCTGCACTCTCAAGTGTTCGCCAATGATGCGTCCGCAAGCAGTGCGCACTGCGCTAGGCCTTGTCATAACCAATCCCAACGCATTTGCACCTCTTGCATATCATACGTTGCTTGGCAACCTCGTTTGCTGACACGGCAAACACTACAGTAGTGAGAGTGAGAGCGGTGTGTGCATGTTGATTGAATGTAGACAAGTACCGGTACTGTGCATTTGGAAATCGTTCGCACATGCAGAGCTGCCAATCTAGGTAAGCATCGCTGGAATTTATGTTCAACCATGCACAATCGCGCCCGCTTGCGCTCCATCGCAGGCAAGCACTGCAAGTCAAAGTGTGGTCAAACCCTCTGCACACCACAAATGCTGAGAACCATCATGCACTTGGGCACGCTCCCGCTGCGCGCCCACCCTATGATCGTCTGCTCATTGAAGCTGCCAAGGGTTGCTGGCCTTTGAAATGCTTTGACCTTCCGTGCCCTTGCCCGACACAGTAGCAGCCTTGCCTGGCAGTGCTGCTACGGCGTGGTGCTGACTTGCGCCCGGACTGCGGCTGCATCCAGAGGTTGGCCATACAAGACGACCGCAATGCCTTCATTGCGCAAGCCTGAGGCGATCGCAGCTGGATGCAACCTCATCTGTTGCGCGAAACCTGCGGAACGCATGTCACCTTGTCATGAGCGTGTCCCCACATCGCAGGACTACCATGCGCTTGTGTGTAGCATGAAACTACGTGTACAGTACTAACTGCCCACTTACTGGAGCGGCCCGCCGTGGACACCCACACACGCCACAGCATTCGCACACGTTTGCACATTTGCCGCACGATATTTTCGACCCCAGTAACACCGGCTCAAGACGCGTCGGACTGCCCCGGTCGGCCTTTCGCCTGCCGCGCAGGTGATTCAGTATATCGAGGGGTACCGGTGGAACGGGTATGGGCGGGATACCCCACTCGCTTTGAGCACACTGCTGCTTGCCACATCTGCCGTGTGCGGTGTCTACGGTGGTGACCACTCTGGGCGCCCCGCGGTAATCGAACCCTCGTCAATGCATGCATGCTACGACGGAAATTCGTCTATAACTGCCCACTTACCCATTTACAACTCTTAGTCGCCCAGGCCGGAAACGCGGAAATTCTAAAGACCTCGACAGAACCACAGCGGCAGTGCGTAGAGAACCGGGACGCAACCTCATTCTGATACCTCCCATCCCACCCCTCATCACTCCTCAGCTGTGCGCAAGATGATGCTCAAGCAGACCGTGGTGAGGCCGCGGGGCGAGTCCCAAGATCTCCCATTAGGGGCAAGGAGTGCGCTGTTTCCAGGATTTTGGAAGGCTTTGCAGGAATGCACACGCTTTCTTCAAGAATGCCCTCCTCCGCTGCTCTGCCGCGCAGGCCTCGCAGGCCCTGCTGGGGCGCAAGGCCGCCCGGCCGGCCGCCCGCACCATCTGCCGCGCTGAGCCCGAGAAGAGCCTGGCCAAGGTGACCGGGATCGGTCAATGGAGTTGTGTGGGCCTGGATGGTGATCTGGAGTCGAAGCGATAGGACTGTTCTCATGACAGCAGCAGCTCCAGCACGTCTCCGGGACGCTGGCTCTCGGCAGCTATTGATGATCGCGCTGGTATCTGGCCCGGCGCGAGGCGCCTGCAGCACGCAGTGCTGGTGAAGGCAGCAGCACCTGCACAGCTGCAGCAAATTTTAAGCGAATGACGCGCAGTGCAGCGGTTGGTACGGGCTGCTGGCAGACCTGAAAGTGCTGCACGGTACCGTATGTGCCGTGAAGTGGCCTCAGTGGCTCGGCTGTGTGTCCAAAATCGGCGCTATCAAGTGCCACGAGGAACATCGTCATGCCAGCAGCAGACGGCGCCACTGCAGCCCATGCGAGCAGCGCGCGAACCCGACGCCTCGCCGTCACGTCCCCGACCGCGCCGCACCTGCTGCCGTGCAGGTGGACCGTTCCAAGGACCAGCTGTTCTTCCCCAGCGAGGCGTCCCTTACCTACCTGGACGGCTCCCTCCCCGGCGACTTCGGCTTCGACCCCCTGGGCCTGGTGAGGGGTTGGGGGCGGCCCGCAGCTCTCCCAGCTGGGGCAAGGCAAGGCAAAGCGGGGCGCTGCAGGTTGGGCGGGGCGGGGCGGGGTGACCGGCCTGGGTCATTCGGACGGCCCCTACACAGAGGAGGTCACAGGAGGGCGAGCCGAAGCTTGGCGCCTGCAGAGTCGCGCCGCTCGCTCATGAGGACACGAGCAGCTCTTTGGGCGAAACGCAGCCAATGTAAACAGAGGGCCTGACGGACGGCGCGCCTGCCCGGCCTGTGCCCGCAGCTGGACCCCGTAAACTCCGGCGGCTTTGTCACCCCTGAGTGGCTGGCGTACGGCGAGATCATCAACGCCAGGTGCGGGGCGGACTCTGCAGTGCCCAGTCTCTGGGAGCTGAGCTGGCACCAGTGGGCAGGCCGCAGGTTCGCTGAAGAGTTGTTTAGCTTCCTGCTCAGGCCAGCGCAGCCAGCAGCGGTGTGGCCGGGCTGGTTCTCGTGCTGTTGGCAGCGGCTCCAGCCAGAGGCACGGCGGGCGCAACGCGGGTGCCGTCCCTGGTTACCATGCGGCGCAGGTGGGCGATGCTGGGCGCTGCGGGCATCATCGGCCCGGAGATCCTGGGCCACTACAACCTCATCCCGGAGGCCACCCGTGAGTGGCTGCTGTGATGCCGTGAAAGTGTGTATGCATGGGATTGATTGGCGCAATGAGGGTCTTGGGGGCGTGCTACCTGGCCTAACGGCAACGCTTCCCGCCGCGGAGCCCAGCCAGCAGCGTGCCCTGCTGCGGCATCGTCAGCCCTTGAGCGGCCTCATTTGGCAAGCCGCGATGCGGGACTGCCTTGCCCACTAATGCGGTTTCCCTCGCCACCATAATGCCCCCCCCTCCGCCAGGGGTCGACTGGTGGCGCACCGGCGTGATCCCGCCGGCGGGCACCTACGACAACTACTGGACCGACCCCTACACCCTCTTTGCCATCGAGGTGGTCCTCATCCAGTTTGCGGAGCTGAAGCGCCTGCAGGACTTCCGCTACCCCGGCTCCCAGGGCAAGCAGTACTTCCTCGGCATCGAGAAGGTGGGGGGTTGTGAGTCGGGGTGTGTGCGCAAGGGGGTGTGCGCGTCGGGCCGGGAGCGGCTCGACGGGTGCAGTGGGCAAGAGCATGTCAAGCGCCTGTGTCAATGGATCAACATCTGGCATGTACTATAGGCAGGTCGCCACTTGGTAGCAGCGAGCGCGGCATTGGCTCAGCCGTTTTCACACTCACATCTACACACACACACACACACGCACACACACACACACACACACGTATGTTTGCACACACGCCCCAGGTGTTTGAGGGCAGCGGCAACCCGGCCTACCCCGGCGGCCCGTGGTTCAACATGTTCAACCTGGGCAAGACCGAGGCCGAGCTCAACACCCTGAAGCTCAAGGAGATCAAGAACGGCCGCCTGGCCATGCTCGCGGTGTTCGGCTTCGGCGCGCAGGCCATCGCCACCCAGAAGGGCCCCTACCAGGTGCGTGGCTCTTGCCCGTGCGGGCGGCTTGGGTAGGGGACACAGACTGGTTGTGCGCGACGGCTGCTTGTGCCTCCGCCCCTCTCAGCCACGCGCCATCCCATCACCCTGGGCCTCCCTGTGTCGGAGGAAAGCCCCATGGTCCCAATGGGGCAACGCTCCCACCTTGCCTGACCGTGACACCCTGAGCTGCCCTCCAACCCGCCCACACCTTGTCCCCCAGAACCTCCTGGACCACCTGGCTGACCCCACCGGCAACAACATCCTCACCAACTTCGCCAAGGTCCTCAGCCCCTGAGCGTGTTGTCACTGCTGAGAGTTGTGTGTGTGTGTGTGATTTTTGGTCTCCCAAGTAGTAAATCCGCCCCCAGTCCCCAGCACAAGGAGTCATCTCATCCATGGAGTTGTATAATGGGAGTGGTCAAGCATAGAAGCCAGCTGAAGCGCGGCGACGTGCATGCAGTGAACCTTGGCTTGTACTCTGCACACGTGGACACCCCAAGCAGGGTAACTTGCGCGTGCCAGGGGTGGGCACGTAGCACACTGCTCTCAGTGGCGACGGCGCCACAAGTGCCGTACTGCAGTCTGCAGCATTCAGCTTCACACGCCCCGTAGCGATCGACTGCAGCCCCATCACATGCACCTCCATGCAAGGTCACATCTGCACATATTGTATACTGCGCCACAAGTACATTGAGCTGTCCACACAGCTATTTGCCGGAGATCTTTCAGAAACCGTGTTTAGTGCCCGTAGTTGAAGCCTTACACACAAGTTTAATTATCTATCACTTATACTGCGCGCTTGTCAACTCGAAGCGAGCCCTGGCTGGGATTTGCGGGTGCTGTCATCTCTGGCTGAGAGCGGCGCCCTCTCTTGAGCGTCCGGGGTGTCCTGAAGAGGAAAACAGATTTGAGCTCAGGAGCGCCCGCCTTGAGCCCGGCGGGTGGCCTGCAGTGCCGGCTCCTGAACTCGTCGTGATGGCCAGCCCTCCAGCGCTATGCCAGGCAGCGCAGGAGCAGGAGTATAGCGCACCTAAGTGAGTGGCGGCCGCACGAGGTTGCGCTCGCCTCGACGCGCATCACGCGACATTGGAAGCCATGTGCTTGGGCGCGCCGGGCCGCGCTGCCACATCAGGCTCCATGTTGCTCGATCCAAGCCGGCTGGACCGCTGGCAGCGGCATCCGCAGGTCACATTGTTCGTATCTTCGCAGCCACCTGCGGTTTCTTTGGCAGCGTCCTGCCATGCGCGCACATGCTGCTGCCGCTCGTGCGCCGCAGCTCCTGCGTCCCCCACCACAACGCGGCCCCGCCCCACGCCCATTCCCGCACCCCCTCTCCTCAAAAAGGCTGAACCTGACCGTCGCCGACTTTGATGTCGTGCGGCGGCTGGGCGAGGGCAGCTTCAGCACGGTGGTCCTGGCCAGGTTCCGGAGAGATGGGCGCGAGTATGCCGTCAAGGTCATCTCAAAGAACCTCGTGATAAGGAACAAGGTGGGGCAGCCTGCAGTGCGCGCTCTGCGCGCGCACGCGCCGTAGCCGCTGCTGCCGGCCGCGTCGGCGTCCGCCCGCGGCGCCTGGGGGTCGTGCCGAGCGCCTGGGCGGCAGCCGCCACAGCGGCGGCGGTGCTCTCCTTCCTGCCGGCCCCCGGTGGAGGCACGGCGGCGGCGGGCCGAGGCTGGCCCCGTGGACGGCCGCCGGCCGCCCCCAACAACCCCACCTCCAGGATAGGTGATTGAGTCGCCCCCATGCGCGCCCCCTCTGCCGCCAGGTCATCGACTACATCCGCAACGAGCGCACCATCCTCGACCGCCTGCACCACCCCGGCATCGCGCAGCTCCACTTCACCTTCCAGGCAAGCGCGCGGCCCCCGCCCTCGCCCCCGCCCTCGACCGCGCGCACGCGCCGCGTCCCCCGTAGCCGTGCCCCTGGCGGGCCTGCTCACAGATGTCCGGCAGCTTCCCCCCCTTTCGTCCGCCTGCAAACCTCGCGGCGTATTGTCCAACCAGTTTGAGCATAGCAGCGCATCAATCCATAAGAAGCTCGTATTATTGTATATGTTTGCATGCCCGCCCCCCCCAGGACGAGGAGAGCCTGTACATGGGCCTGGAGTACTGCCCGAATGGGGAGCTCTTTGAGCAGCTGGAGGCGCGGGGGAAGCTGCCGCTCGCCGACGCCGTGCAGTGGGCGGCGGAGGTCGTGGATATTCTGGATTACCTCAGATCCATGGAGGTCATCCACAGGTGGGGCGCGGCCGGGCCCGGTTGAGGCAGCTGCTGGGAAGCCGCCCACGAGCAGTTGTGTTGGAGGGAAGGTGCTCGCAGTCGGGGGCGCGGGCGCTCGCCGGCGTCGGAGGCGCGCGGCGCGGCAGCAGGGCGTGCGAGGCCGCGCGCCCGCAGCAGCGGCGGCGCCAGCACGGAGCGTCGATCAGCATAGCAGGCTGGAGCCCAGAGCAGCAGCGGTGGTGGCGGGCAGTGCATGCGGGGTCTACGCCGGCGTCCTCCGACTCACGCTCACACTCCCGCTCTGCGTTTTTGCAGGGACCTGAAACCCGAGAATCTGCTGATTGATGCGGAGGGCCACCTAAAGCTCATCGACTTTGGCAGCGCCAAGGCCATCTTCATGCCCCCCACGTGAGTGGCACGGCGCACGCCACCTTGACGGGCGCCACTTGCGCCCCTGGGTCGACTGGCGGCGCGGCTGGGGGCGGGCACGAGCGGTTGTCGAACGGCAGCGTCCCGCGCCCCCTGCTCGTCTATCAACCCCCGCCCTCGCCCGCCCCGCCGCGCCCCCGCCGCCCTGCGCAGCGCGCGCCGCAGCGGCAACCGCGCGACGTCGTTCGTCGGTACCGCCGAGTACGTCTCCCCCGAGGTCCTCAACAACACGGGCATCTCTTACGCGTCAGACCTGTGGGCCCTCGGCTGCATCATATACCAAATGCTCGCCGGCCGCCCGCCGTTCAAGGGCGGCTCCGAGTACCTCACCTTCCAGCTCGTCACCGCGCGCGAGCTGGAGTTCCCGGACGGCTTCCCGGAAGCCGCCCGCGACCTGGTCGACCGCCTGCTGCGCCTCGAGCCGTCGGAGCGGCTCGGCGCGGCGGGGCTCGACGACGTGCGGCGCCACGAGTTCTTCGCCGGCGTCGCGTGGGCCGGCGGCGCGCGCGCGGCCAACGGGGCCGCGCCGGCGCTGGCGCCGCCGCGGGTGCAGTCGGACGAGGAGGCGGCGGTCGACTGGGAGCTGAGCAGCATGTTCAGGGCGCCGGAGCGGGGGCCGGTGTATTACGAGTATCTGCCGACCACGGGCGCCGCCGCGCAGCACCCGCAGCACGCGCAGCAAGTGTAGCACGTGCGAGCGCCGGCGGGCGCCGCGGGGCCAAGCGGCGCGCGGGGGCGAGCCCGGCGG